CTGCACAGAGCTAAGTCGAATCTGAGAATAGAGGCTAAGGGCCCAAGTCAGAATCTATCCCCGGGGCCAACAGCCCCATGTCCCTGTTGGAAATACTGTGGGTCTTGGCACTGTGAAGTGAACTTGTTGCTTGGCAAAGCACCCTGCCAAGTGCCCTACCCCACCCCACAATCCCTGGCTATGTTGCCCTTCTTTCCTAGAAACAGAGAAGCAAGGGTGTTTGGACAAGGTCATGTAGCAAGGGCAAGCACGCACACACACACGCACACACACTGATATGTGGGGACCAAGAAGTGAAGAGGACCCATGTGTTCAGACTCCTAAGTCCCCTTTCCCTTCCATGGAGGCAACTGGTCCTCCCAAAGCATGCTGGTACAAGGGGCTAGAGGCCAGAAGCCCGAGTTCTCGGAAGACCCTTGCTACCATTGTCTCTGTGACTTGGGCAGATCATGCACTCTCACTGGGCTTCAGTTTCTCGTCAGTAAAATAGGTAGTAATCCTTATCCTGAGGATTTTCTGAAGCCAAAGAAGAAAACTTACTCAACAACTTGAAACCATTCTAGATTGAAGACAGCCTCCAACTAGCCTTGGACCAAAGGGCAATAACCATACAGAGAACCTAGCTCCCGGCCCACAATCACTTAGTACGTTACAAGAGGTGTGCTGCTTCCTTCTTCCTGCACAACATGACCGCAGCAAGCTCATAGCAGAGGGTCAAAGGTCCAGTCTGTAGTGCTGACAGGGCATGAGACAGGGGCCTCAGTGAGGGGGTGGGGGGGATGGTTATAAGGGCACCGAGGGACTAGATCAGGCCAAACCCTTCTGCCGTGGAGGGGAGGGGGGTGCCTGGCAGGCGCTGGGCAGGCTGGGGTGAGGAGAGGCCTTTGGCGGCCGCAGAGAACAAAGAGGTTGGGGTTGCCAGGATATTTTGTGGAGCTGAAACTGGTGGTAGGGCCGGGAGAGGGGCTGTGGCAGCCGTGGGAACTGCGCCTGCTGCCCCCACACCAGCTCCCCCACTCAGACTGGGCCTCAGGGCCTGGCTGTGGGCAAGAGGGGCTGCCAGGGACACCGCTCTGTCCTCAGAGTTGCACGCCGTCAAGGCGGAGACCCAGGAAATGTTGTACACAAAGCCACACATGGCATATAGTGTCAGCATCACTGAGGGGATCACAGGTGCACACTGACACACGTCACGAGCACACGCCCAGGGTCATGCAAGCGGTGTCACAGGGTCACAGCATGGTCACAACCTGGCATCATACACTCACATAGAATCCCTGGTGTCAGTCTCAGGCCACACCCATGATGGTTACACAGACACAATGTCCCAAGCCACATAGAATCACCCAGTGTCTGTCACAGGGTCATGCATGCCATACAGTATCAGTGTTGCATATCCGATGTCACACACGGAATTGCCCAATGTCACACATCGAGCCGTACAACCTGGTATCACACTGGGTCTGCTACAGGATTGTAGTGTCACAGGATTACACATGCAATGTCACAAAATACCCCAAAGTGTGGCTGCTGATGTCATACGTTCACCCATGGCCATATGAGATCTCACATAGCCTACCACACACTGTCACAGATCTATTTTCGTGTCACATGTATCCACATTATTGCACAAGGCCTCACATGGTTGTCAGGGCCTTGAAGTCTGTCTGTTTCTCTGTTTCATACACACACACACACACACACACACACTCTCACACACATGGTTACACGGAGGCTGGGTTTCTCTCTTTCCTCGGGTGTACCCCCAACCACCCCTGCCATCCAGGTAGAGGAAAGGAGAGCCTGGGCTGAAGACTCCCAGGTCACCAGGAAGTCAGGCTCCCAACTGTAGCAGTGGGGAGTGGAGGGCACCCCTAGGGAAGGGAATTGGACATACAGCTCCACAGGGAGCCTCCCTCTAAGTACTTCCCTGTCAGCGGGAGAGCAGCAGGGGTGAGCCTGCAACAGAAGACACAGAGGTGCAAGATACAGGGAGAGACACGTGGAGACTCAGAGACGTGGAAAGATGGTAAGACAGAGACAGAGAAGAGAGTCAGAGACCACTAGAGACCATCAAGATGGAGATTTGGAGACAGTGAGCCAGACAGAAATGGGCAGAGATGGACAATGCTGGAGCAGGGCTTGGCCAGGGCTGGAGCCCGCGGGAAGGGGCAGCAGCTACCCCATGGCAGGGAGAAGTGGGAGGCAGGAGGTGAGGTGGCTAGGGCTTTAGGGAGGACCCACACCCTGGGCAGAAGGTGGGGGACATCTTGGTGAGATTTAGGTGAATAGCTTTAAAATAGCAACACCAGCTGCCATTTGACCGAGTGCTTAAGATGAGCCAGGCCCTTCCCTAGAGTGATCTCATTTCAACCTCAGGCAACTTTATGGAGGAGAGATGATTATTGTCCCCGTTTCCCAGATGAGGTAACTGAGGTCTCATCATGCGTTTGCGTTCAGCCCACAGCCATCCCCACCCCTGCTACGCCTCCTCCAGACAGAGGGGCTGGCCTACCATTTCCACAAGCAGAGCACAGAGGCCCAAGTTGGAAGAGGTGGAAGAGGTGAGGGGCTTCAAGCTTAGGGCTTCTCTGTGTTTAGGGGTAGGCCCAGGAGCCATGGCTGGGCTGTGGGTTGGCACACTAAAAGGTACAGCCTGGCTGAGTCACAGCACCCCCCTCGGGGCTGGCACTGGAGCCGTCCACCCCACACCTGTAGGCATGCCAATGAGGGCTGGCCGAGGCCATCTGCGGCCTGTGTACTGCCAGCAGCAGGGCGGGGGCAGGCGGGGGCGTCCTGCCTGGGTGCCCCCTGCTGGCCAGGCTTCCCACCCTGATGCCCCCAAGGAGGACCCTCCCCACCCACTCGAGGATCTGGAGGTGTTGCAGTTTGCCTCCTGCAGGGGATGAGGGTGCTCCTGGCTACAACACCTCCCCCTACTCCCCGCTGGACGCCCCCCTTCGGCAGAGCCGCCTGGAGAGATCACAGGCAGCCACATGAAAGGGAATTTTTCCCAGGCAGAGCTGGAGTTGAAAGCTGCCTCCTACCACCCCCGCCTGCCCCTGCTGTGCCAGGCCAGGCTGTTGAGCTCCTGGTGCTCTAAGGGAGCTTGTGACACTGGGAAGGGGTTGGGGGTCAGAGCCCCCACCCAATATGGGCTGCTTTTTCTCCTCCCAGGAACAATAGCAAGAGGCAGCTCATCTCGCCCAGCTCGCTGCCCACTCAGCTTCAGAAGTTGCCCCTTCCCTCATCCTGAAAGCCCTCACCCACCTGAAGCGAGGCCCCGACATTGTCAGGAAGTCCTTCCTCAAGTCTAGCCTCCATCTCAGCCAGGCTCAAAGCAGCTGGGTGGGAAGAAGGCCTCCACGTCAGGTGGATGATAGGTCTCATCCTGCAGGCCGGCCTCTGTGATATGCAGGGGTGGGGGCCATGCAGCTGTCACTCCTTCCTGTTCAGGCTGCCTTGGCGTAGACCATGTGGCTATGTGGTGATTTCCCCAGACATCTGGCCTCTGAGGTCGCAGACAACCTTGCGCCAACACATTTTCTGGGGGTGGAGAAAGTCGTACAAGAACCAAAGCCAAGGATCCCCCCAGGCCCCAGTCCAGCAGCCAGCCCTCAGGCCTGAAGAGGGGTATGTGGGGGTAGGGAGGCTTCTGCATGCATTCTGGGCACAGCCAGGTCCCCACAAACCTGGGCTAAACCTGCTCCCTGGGGTGTCACCGCAGCGGTTGGGGGAGCAGTAGACCCCTGCAAGAAAGAAACCGAACAGGCAGCTTGGGCCCTTCCTCCAGTACTGCGGGCTGCTCTGCACTGAACAGGCCCCGACGACTTTACGTAAATAGAGATGGTGGCCCCAAGTGAGTGAAGGTCCCCGGAGGTCCGGGTTCTGAGGCAGGGGGTACAACCGGGCAGACGAAATGTTCCAGTACCAGTCACTTTAACAGCACTTTCACCACGTCAGCCAGGCCGGCTGCTCCTGCTTGACCCCCTTCAGGTACCACAGGGCCTCAGTACCCAAGAGATCCCCACTCTAAATGTCCCCAAGCCATCCTTCTTTCTTCTCAAGGTGGCTCCAGACAACCCCTGCCCAGCGACAGCCCCCAAGCCAGCCCCCCAAACCGGAGAGCAAGAAGCCATCGGTGCTTCGTGACACAAACATGCATTCGTTTTATTCACAAAACAGCCTGGTTTCCTAAAACAATACAAACAGCATGTTCATCAGCAGGAAGCTGGCCGTGGGCAAGGGGGCCCCCCCAGGCACCCACACCCACCAGCAGGGGGCCACGCAAAGAAGCCCTTTCTTCTGTTGCCATCAGCGAGGCCAGAAAAAAAGGACTTATTTTCTCTAAGGGAAGTAGCCAGGATCGGAAATATTGAGACACGGGCTCCCCAGATCTCAATGGATAAAGGAACAGAACTTTCATTTTTGCAAAATCATCATTGTCGGGGTAGGGGGGATCCCATTCTGGGTACCGCGAGTGCAGCATGGCTGGCCTGGGCCCAGGGGTGGGTGGGCTGCTCCCTCCCCCTCTGTGAGCTCCTCGCCGCAGCTCTGCACATGTGGATGGATAGAGGGGCTTCTCGACGCGGCGCCATCCACATTCTCTTTATAAACGTGAGTGGATTCTCCAGGCAAACTATGCACTATTTCATGGTCGGAAAGAATCAAAGGAAGTTTAAATGAGGGTGGAGTTAAACTGTGCTAAATTACAGTAGTGCTTATTAGTAACTAGATTTCAAAAGGTTACAGAAAATTTACATTCTCTACACAAAAACTGCATCTCCTGCACAGACAACATCGACATCGACACAGGAAGGAAACTGATTGTCCATTCTTTGCCCAGGAAGTCTCGGTACTTTATAGATTCGTCTCTACCTCTTTTTTGTTGTTGTTCTTCCGAAAAAGCAGTTAAAATTTTTTTCCTTTTTCTTTTTATACTAGGGACGTGGAGATGTTAAAACGACAACAAAAAATATATATATAAAAACAGGAATGAAATCTGTGAGAGAATATTTTTGGTTCTAAAGACGGGTGCATCCGTTTGTCTTCGCCCGAATCCCTTGCCGGAGACCACACGAGCAGTGACATTGCACGGAGAGGGCAGCTTTGGGTTCCCGCCGCCGTCACTGAAACCACCGGAAGGCGGCTCCCGTCGGAAGCATCACCTTCTGGCGGGGGCGGGAGACAAAAACAAGGAGAGAGTTCAGTCAGGGTCCGGCGGGGCCTGATGCAAAGACGCTCCCCCGTGGACGGCCTCATGGCGGAGGGACGGGCATGGAGTAAAGGCAGCCACCCCGTGGAGTTCCTGCCATCCTGACCAGGCCAGAGAAGAAGCCTTGACCCGCTGGGCCGCTGGAGGGCCCGGAGCACCCTGAGGCCCCCTGAGCCACTGTGTCCAGGAACCCTCCTTCCAAACAGGAAGACCCATTCCCCTGGTCCAGAGGCTACAAGCGCCGAGTGGCTTTGGTGCATCTGGGGCTGTGTGCATGTTTCTGTCGAGGGAGCATGTAAGCATACGGACGTGTGTCTCAAGCGATGCCACGGTGTGTAGTGTGTCCGGAAGTGTGGTGGGGAGGAAGGGGATTTGCTGTGCACCTACAGTAAGACTGGGTACTGGGCAGGGCCGTGTGTGCGCTTGTGCGCGCATGTGTGTGTCCACACTAGATAAGAGGTGAGTGCCTCTGTGTGCATAGAGGTGTATTCTCTGGGCAGGAGAGCAGATATATGAGGTTTGGGGCTTGGGGGTGGGGAGTAGCCATGGCTGGGATGCCATTATTGTTTTCCAACCATTCTGAACATTTGCGTCCAGCCCACTCATAGAGGGGCGGGGCCGGGGCTGGGACAGCAGGCTGAAAAGATGCTTTTGTACCCAGGCCTGGCACCACAGCTAGGCTGCCACGGCTGGGGGCACAGGGACAAGCTCTGCCACGAGGGTGGAGAGAAAGAAAGCAGCTTGGGAACCCTTCTGCCTGCTCTAAGCCGATCATCCCATGGTGGACAGGCCTTGCCTACACCCCAAGATCACAGCAACCCCCTCACTCCAGGCCCGTAGGACCCGTGGCCATTACCTGTGTAGCCAGACTGACTGTGGGGCCCCAAGAAACCCCAAATCTGTCAACTGGATGTCTAGACGCAGGGTTCTTCCAGGCCTTAGAGCAGGGCAGTGAGCACGGGGGCCGCTCTATCCTTGGGTGGCCTTAGGGGAAAGGCCAGGCTCTGAAGGGGCAAGTGAAGGGCTTACCCCTCAAAGCCACATGGTCCACAGGAGAGAACCCCTCAAGTGGGACAAGGAAGAGGCCCCAGCATCCTAGGTTATGGACTGGAAACGTTAGAATATGTCTGAAAGTCAGCAACTTTGGACCTACATGGGAACATCAGTAGCTGGCCCAAAACTCCAGGAGGGGGTTCAGGATCCCCGGGCCTGGCTGGGAAGTGCTAGGCCCCCTCCTGGAACTTTATGCTGGCCTTGCAAACTACAACCTAATGAGATCTCAGGATGTGGCACTGACTTTTTTGGGCAGTGAACTGGTGTCTGGGAGCCTGCTCTAGAACCCGAGAGCCCAGGGACTGGCTGAGCAGCCCCCACTCGCCCAGGTAGGAAAAGCGGGTTTGGGGGGCTGGGGGGTGGGTTTGGACTGCCAGACAGACACAAGAGCCCACACACCTCCCTCTAAGGCGCCGTTACCTCCAGAGCAGCGGAAGGCTTCTTTTTGAGTTCCTCACATTTTCTGAATTTGCAAATCTGATGGCCAGTCTTTCGGTTCCTACAACTGCTGCACTGCTCGCAGTTGATGCGCCGTCGGCAGGGCGCGCACATGCCGCAGCGTTTCCGCTTCTTCTTGCCCGAGCTGATGGCCGAGGCCAGCTCTCCCTGCATGGGGTACTCGGCAAGGCCGGCCATGTGCAGCGCACTCTCGGCCAGGAACACGCCCGCCGGGGTCATGATGAAGAGGCCTGGGTTGATGGGGAAGGCGCCCAGGTAGGGGAAGTCGGACTGGCCATTGAGGGCTTCGGCACCCGCCACGGCCTCCATATCGGGCAGGCCGGCACCCGCCTCGCTCATCAGCGGAAGGTGCTCCTGCACCACGCGCTTCAGCATCTCCGTGGACTGCGCGAATTGCTGCAGCGTCAGCTGTCCCTCGGCTGCCAGCTCCGTGGCCCGCTCTGCCTTGCTCAGCAGGCTGGCCACAGCACCACTTTTGTGCTTTGAGGTAGGGTTGCTTTTGTCCACAGCCATGGCTGCCGCCAGGTCATGCCCATTGGCCAACAGGGAGGCGGCAGCCGCAGCGGCAGCAGCCTTTTCAGCAGACTCACTGCCCATCATGCTGCCACCACCGCCGCTGCCACCACTGCCCCCAAAGGAAGAGTAGTGGGAGAGAGGGCGGGAGCGGCGCAGACTCTTGTTGAGGGGTTCGCTGATGATGCCGCTCTTGTTCCGACGTTCTGGGGGTGGTGCATCATCCGCCACCGAGGCTGGGGTGGCAGTGGCCACCGCCGCGCTCTTGTCAGCCACTCCTGCCTTGGGGCCGCTGCTCCCGCTGCCATTGCTGTTGCTGCTGCTGCTGCCACCGCTGTCCTGGGGGCTACTGCCGAGGCTCGACATGGTGGGGCCGAGGCCCAGAGCCCGCTGCTGGGGGGGGCCTGCCAACTGCGGGGGGTCCACAGACGAGCACCGGGCCCTGCTGCCCACAACAGAGATGGCTGGGGGGCCCTGCTGCTCAGGGCAGGCACATGGTCAGGTGTCCACGTGGAAGGATCTTCACTCTATCGGGACAAGAGTATAGGGTCAGGGCAGCAGTAAACACTTCCTTCCCCAACGTCACGACCACTACCAACAACTGTACCCCCATGTAGTAACAACCACAAGCCCCACTGGGCATTTATTTAAGTGCCAGACCCAACATGGTTAGGTATTTTTTATTTGTACTACTTCAGTTCAGACTCACAAGCACCCTTTGAAGTAGTGGCTAGGAATACTCCGTTTTACATAAGGTTTAGAACTGAGCAGGGATCTACAGTTAATGAGCATCATGGTGGAAGCCCAGCCTGAATCCGTACAGCCTAGATCTGCAGCCACTTCTTCCTGGGCTGGGGTAGTAGGGAAGAGCTAGAGATGTTTATGAACCTCAGAGGGTTATAGAGTCACCTTCTGCTTCCTCATCTTCCTTCTGTGACCCATCTACAAAGAGGGGTTGGAACAGCCTCTGCAAAGCTTGAACGTATAGACCAGAAATCTGGGAAGCTGCTCCTAGGCCCTCATTTGGCAACTCCTAATACATACTGATTATCTATCTCAACGCTCTGACAAGTCCTGCAGGGAAAGTAAAGTGACTCTAACAGGGGTTACCAAATAGCGCACAGGATCCTTATTTCAAGGAGCATGTATCCTCTTGCTAGAGGGCAGGCAGCACTGTGCCAGAGGACAATCCTTCTCCTGTAAGAATGCGGGGACACACTGTGTACATATCGAACACACGATTCCTCCTCACTCTCAAACCACAGTCATCATTACCTCAGACCCCACTCTTGTCTCTACTCAGGCCTCCCTGCTGTGCTCCAGCCTGGCTCCCAGATGGGTCTGGGATGAGGTCCCAGTGAGAGCTCAGAGCTGGGGTAGGCTGTGGGCAGGAAGGGCCTCTGGCTGGTGCAGGCTGGGACGAGTGGGTGTGACCCTCCAGGGAGTAGAGCCTGTTCTTGGGCCACATCCATGTTTCAGAGGTGCCCCTTTCTAGGACAGAGCCTGCTCTGCTTAGGCCCCAGGGCTAAGGCTTATGAGCGAGCAGCCAGGCTCCTTGGGTCTGGGAGGAACTGTCCAGAAGGAATGGAGCGGCCGTTTCCTCATCAGCCCTGGCTCTTTCGCATCCCTTCCCTGTCTGCCTGCCTGCCGTGGCCCAGCAACCCCTGGGAGAAGGGCGGGAGGAGAGGGCCCAGCCTGAGCAGCTGGCGGCTCAAGGGGGAGGCGCACATCTGGCGGGGCCTGTCCCGCCCTAGGATTGGGGCCGGCACACATACATCTTTGTCCCCAGGCAACCCCACCATCCCCCAGTCACAGGACTCAGCCGGTCCTGGTCCCGGGAGGTCATCTAGTCCAACCCTCTGCACTTACACAGGGGGAAATTGAGGCCCTGAGCAGGCAGGGCTGCTAAGGAGTGGCCACAAGGAGGAGTGCGTATAGGAAAGGGAAAAGCTCTGGCTCCTGAGGAGTCGAAAATGGCAGGCGTCAGCAGACAGCCAGACGCTCCCTGCCTCTCCCCAGAGAGCACTGGCCCACGAACGCTCCTTCCTAGTGAAGGTAAATGGGTGGTAAGGAAGAGCTGGGCAAGCTGGCACATTCTACCAGGACAAACCCAGGAGGGCCTGGCAAGGTGTCCAGGCTGGGCTGGGGGTACCACAGAGATCAGAGTTGTAGTAAGAGGAAGGGGATGATGTATGCCCAAGGATAGCTGTGCTCTGTCCCACCTCCTGAGGGCTAAGCCCAGGCTGGCTCTTCAGGCCCTCGCTCAGAAATCAGTACCCCTCTGGGCATCAGTGACACCTGGCTAGGTGCTGGAGACCAGGGCCAGTGAGATCAGGGCTAGAGACTGTCACCCCAAATTAACTGCCCCTGCCCATCTGAGCTCAACTACCCTGCTCCGGAGCAAGCTCCAGCAGCCCCAGACATGGTGAGGGGAGAAGACAGAAGAAGGTAGGAGCCCTTGGGTTGGAGAGGTGGGGAGGGGAGCAGTCTGCGCCCTAGCCCCCCTGTGTGTCCCCGCCTCTGCGGCCTGCTGGCTGGTGGCAGAAATCGATAGCTGCATTAACGCTGCTCTTGCTCTACTCCCTCCCTCCCTCCTCCCAGCTTCAGGATCTGGCTCTGTGTACAGGGCGGGCAGGTCAATTAGAAGTCAGCTCCCTCCAACACGGGCCTGCGTTCAGGGCTGGCGCTCTGGCTGAGTCTCTCTGCTTTTGTCTCCATCCTGAGTCTCATGGTAGGGACAAAACCTCATGTTCTGTTCATCTCTGGCCCTTTCTTTGAATTTCTCTGATCTTTCATTTTTCTGTCCTTCCTCAGGGATTACCCTCTCCCAGCCCCCCCCATGTCCTGGGACATGCTGAGCTATGGAGCAGACGACGTGATATGTCATCAAACAGGTGCTGCAGGCAGAACACTGATGTGTCAGCCACAGAAACTGAAGGTGGGGAGTACAGAAGGGGGACTGGCACACAGGTAATTCTGTCCCCAAACCCCGGAGTGGGTAGATACCAACATCTAGTTAGTCCCCAAGGCCTGGTCCCTAAGCTTGCTCCAAATCTGCCCCATACCTGGCTCATCTTCTCCTTTAGACCCTGGGAAAAGCTGATGCCCTGGTCCCAGTGGACCAATGACCACAGGGCTTGTTTGCCCTACTCACGGAAGGGGAGGACTTAAGACCTTCTCCCAGGCCCTAGTCCTTTACTGCAAGGCACACGGCAACCCCCTCCCAGGCTACGAAGGGCCTGGCAGTGCCCAGGCAGCAGGGGAGGAGCTGGGGCTGTGAAAGGAGCGGACCGGAGCGGAGGGAAAGCTGGCGGGCAGGCGGGCGGCGGCGGGCGCATCATCATCGGCCCTGCCAGGAACGCATCCAGCCCCCAAAAAGAAATACTGCGCCTGAGGAGGGACAACAAAGGGCTCCGTTTCATCAGCAATGCGGGATAGTTAGCCCATGCAGCGGTCAGCCTCAAGGACCCCTTTGTCCATGCAGGAGCCGGGCCGGCCGGGAGCTGGGACCAGGGGCTGACGGGTGGGGACAGAGCCCAGAGGGAGGGGGATGAGGGGGGTGTGTGGGGGGGGTAACCCGTCATGGAGAGCTGGGGGGCAGAGGGGGACATGGGGGCAGAAGAACAGAGACAGGTGCTACGGGAGGATCATGAGACAGAGAACTTGAGGGGTGGGTCAGAGAAAGGGGGACTTGGAGAGGACAGGGCAAAGGGTCAAGGTTAGAAAACAGAGCTTCATGGGAAGCAGAAAATGGACGGACCCGGGCTCAGAGAGATCCAAGGCTCTTAGCCCAGCTTTGAAGACTTGAGGGTCTGACAGACATAGAAACAGCCCTGAGGGAGAGAATCCTACACTCGGGGACCTGAGGACCAAGAGAAAGCAGTTGGATATGCCCACAGCTCTGAAAGGGAGGCAGGGGTTGGGTGGTCCCCAGCCCACTCTGGCCCAGGCCCAGGGAAGCAGAGATAGATAGGAAGGAGGGCTGAGGGTCAATGGGTTCTTGGCCTCAGGGCCTGGCCTTGTGGCCCAACCTCCTAGGGGCTCTGGCTTACTGGCAAAACTGGGAAGAGAGGAAGTCAAAGCTGGGGCCACTCTCCTGCCACTGGGACCGCCCCCTGCCTCTACTCTCAGGCCCTAGCCAGCACCAGAAGACAGAGACCCACCCCACTTCAACTAGCTCCCAGTAACAAGTGACACCCAGGGTCTCTTAACTAACTCTATCAGGTAGCATTTATTGAGCACCTACTGTGTACCAGTCCCTGCACTCTTATGCTTTACATGTCTGCTCTCCTTCCGACTCCTCCCAGAAGCCAGCGGCCAGCAAAACAGAAATAATTAATTTGAGAGATGAAGAAATTGAGGCTCAAAGAGGTTCAAGCTGTCAGGCCAAGGTCAAGCAGCTGGTACCCAGGACCGTTAGAATTTGAACCCAGAATCTAAGTGTTAGTCACCCTGCTCTGGGATTACCTTTGCTCTCTACCTGTGCAACTGACAAAGTAGCCCAGGGCAAGGTGACCCAGCAATCCCAAGGCCGCCCTCACCCTCCAGGGTTGTTACCATGCCTGTCACCTCTACGTGGTTGTGGGGATGAGTTGTCACAGACCCCAGTGTCGTGTCTTCACCTGGGGGGCTTGGAGATGCCCAGGCAGGAACCTGGAATCCTGGGCTACTGACCTCATAATGCCAGCTGGCAATGAAGTCACCAGAGGTGATGATAATGCCCTCCCTCCACCCTGAGCTCCAGGTGAGCCAGGATTCATCCCCAGCAGGGCTCTGTCCTGAGGCCTTTGGGCCAGACTGCAATGGGGGAAGGGGCACTGGGGGGGAGGCATGACGCTGTCTGCACAGAGACATGCACACATCCCACTACCATTTACCCAAAAGCGGCCCCATGCCCTGTGGTACTGGGGAAACTGCAGGATACAGACCCAGCACGGCCCTGGAGGAGTACACAGGAGCTTGGCCAGTGGTCACATGAACCAATATGAAATGAGAGCAGGAAGGCAACCAAGTGGAGCACTGGAGGCCTTTCTGGAGGAAGGGACTGCTAGCCTGTGAGCTAAAGACAAGGGGAGGTTACCAAAGGGGACATGAGCCGGAAAACAGTTCTTAAGAAAAGGGGAAGAAGGGTCCCTGGCTCGTCGGTAGAGCATGCGGTACAGCATGTGACTCTTGATCTCAGGGTTGTGAGTTTGATCCCCCTGTTGGGGGGTAGAGTTTGCTTCAAAAAAAAAAAAAAAAAAAAAAAAAAAAAAAAAAAAAAGAAAGAAGGAAGAGGGTGCGAGGTATGGTCGGGAGGTTGGCCGAGTCCCAACTGGGCAGGGCGCTGAGGCCAAGGGTAGGATTTTTTTTTAACAGCTTTACTG